AAGAAATATATCCTCCAGTGAGGATAAAAAATTAAGAAATTTTTAAAAAGCAGAGAGTGTCAGAAAAGATAATGAAAATTAGTGAGATGCAACAAGAGCAATGCCAGAAGGGAAACATTAAAAAATATCTGTATTAGGAAAGCAGAAATCATTCATTTAGGTTTTTACCTTAAGAAAAGAGAATGAGTAAAGTAAATCAAAATTAAGAAGAGGGAAGGAGATAATAAACATAAGTGCAAAAAGGAACAAAATTGAAAGATGAATAATAGGGAATATTCACAAAGCCAAATCCTGGACAGGTACATGCAAAAAAATGAAACTAGACCACCAAACTTACATCATACACCAGAATAAACTCAAGATGGATAAGAGACTTAAATATAAGTCATGACACCATAAAAGTTTTAGAGGAAAACATAGGGAAGAAATTTCAGATATCCCATGCAGCAATATTTTTGCTGATATATATCCTTGGGCAAGAAAAATCATAGAAAAATAAGTAAATTGGACTACATCAAATTAAAAAGCTTCTGATGGCTAAAGAAAACATCAGCAAAATGAAAAGGGAACCAACTGTATCAAAAAACATATTTGCCAATGATACCTCACACAAGGATTTGATCTCCAAAATATATAAAGAACTCATATGACTCAATACCAGAAAGACAAAAAATTTGATTAAAAAGTGGACAAAGGACCTAAAGAAACACTTCTCCATGGAGAACATACAAAGGGCCCAGAGACATATGAAAAGATGTTCAACATCATTAGCCATCAGAAAGATGCAAATTAAAACCACAACGAGATACCACTTCACACCAGTGAGAATGACCATCATAAACAAATCAACAAACAACAAGTGGTGGCGAGGATGTGAAGAGAAGGAAACCCTACTGCACTGTTGGTGGGAATGCAAACTGGTGCAGCCACTGTGGAAAACAGTATGGACTTTTCTCAAAAAATTAAAAATGGAACTGCCTTCTGACCCAGCAATTCCACTGCTGGGACTATACCTAATGAATCCTGAAACACCAATTCAAAAGAACCTATGCACCCCATTGTTCATAGCAGGGTTATTTACAATAGCCAAGTGCTGGAAACTGCCCAAGCGCCCCTCAGTAAATGAATGGATCAAAAAACTGGTACATTTACACAATGGAATACTATACAACAGAAAGAAAGAAGGAACTCCTACCTTTTGCTACAGCATGGATGGAACTGGAGAGTGTTATTCTAAGTAAATAAGCCAGTTGGTGAAAGACAAATACCCTATGATCTCACCTATAAGAGGAATTAATGAACAAAAACTAATGAGCAAAATAGAACCAGAGTCATGGAAACAGGAAACAGACTGACAGGGATCAGAGGGGAGGAGGAAAAAAGAAATAATGGTGGAAAGAAGGGGAAGAGTCTAGTTAAGGAACATGTATTCAGGACCCATGGACATGAACAACAGGGTGGGGACTGACTTTGGGAGCCAAGGGTTAGGGGGTGAGCTGCGTGGAGGAGGGCAAAGGGGAAAATTGGGACAAATTTTTCTAATAAAAAAATTTAAAAAGCAGAACTTGGCCTTGGTTTGTTTATTTTTGTTGTTGTTGCTGAATATTTCTTTTTTATATTGTTGTTTTATTACAATTGTCCCATTTTTTTTGCCATTGCTCTCCCCTACCCTACCTCTTCCCCTGCTCCCAAAGTCAATTGGGACATTGACATTTTTGCATATTTCTGTCCAGATCTTCCCACACTGTTTATTGAAGAGGCTATTTTTACTACTTTTTATGCTCCTGCCTCCCTCCTTTTTTTGTTGATGCATTTAGCTAAAGGTTTTATCTGTTTTGCTTAGCTTTTCAAAGAACCAGCTCTGGTTTCATTGATCTTTTCTATATTTTTTAGTTCCTATTTCATTTATCTTCACTCTTAAATTTGATATTTCCTTCTACTGGCTTTGGGATCTTTTAATTTTCTCTAGTTCCTTTAGGTGTAAGGTTATTAGATTTTTAAAGATTTTTCTAATTCTTTTGATGCGGGCTTATACTGCTGTGGATTTTCTTCTTTTGCTGCGTCCCATAAACTTTTTGTCGCGTTTTCATTTTCATTTGTCTCAAAGTGTCTTTGATTTTCTTCTTGAGCTCATTGTTAGCCTATTGATTACTTAGTAGCATGTTATTTAGCCTCTGTGTGTTTATAGGTTTTTCAGGTTTCTTCTTGTAGTTGATTTTCAGTTTCATACCACTGTGGTCAAGGAAGATGCTTGATATAATTTTAATCTTCTTAAATTTATTTCTATTTGTTTTATGGCCTAACATATGGTTTATTCTGGAAAATGTCCCATGTGAACTTGAAAAGAATGTATATTCTGCTGCTTTTGGGTGAAATGTTCTAAAAACATCTATAAAGTTCATCTGAGCTCCTGTATCATTTAAAGCCACTATTTCCTTGTTGATTTTCTGTCTGGATGATTTATCCATTAATGTCATAAGGTATTAAAGTACCCTACTGTTATTGTATTACAGTTGATCTTTCCCTTTATGTCTGCCAATATTTATTTTCTATATTTAGGTGCTTCTATTTTGGGCACACAAATGTTTACAAAAATTATATCCTCTTGTTGGATTGATCCTTTTATCATTATATATTGCCCTTTTTTGTCTCTTATTATGGCATTTGTTTTAAAGTTAATTTTATCTGGTATATGTACTGCTAACCCAGCTTTTTTCCATTTCCACAAAATATGGAAATGGTCTCTGCATGTCTATTGATTTGAAGTGGGTCTCTTGTAGGCAGCATATGTATGAGTGTTGTTTATTATTCATTCAGCCACCTCCCCCTTTTTTGTTGTTGGAGCATTTAGTCCATTTACATTTAGCGTAATTATTAATAGGTATGTAGTTATTGACATTGTATTTGTTGTTTTGTGGTTCTTCTGTGGTCTTACTCTCTTGCTCTCTTGTACATTGATGACTTCCTATTGTGTTGTTTGAACTTTTTTCTCTTTATGTCTTGTTCATTTTTGTATAGGTTTTATGGTTTGTGGTTACCATGTCCTTTTCATTTATACCAGGCTATGTTTATAGCAGTCTAATTTAAGTTGATGGTTGCTTAAGTTTGAATATGTTCTAAAATCACTAGTGTTTTTTACTCATCCATCCAATGTTTATGTTTGTCATTATTTTATATCTTGTATGTGTATTTGTGTACCCCTTAGTTTATTGTTGTATTTATATATGATCATCCTACTTCTGTCTATTAACTTTTGTACTAGGTTTAAAGTTGGTTGTTCTACTGTTATTACTGAGTGTTTACTTTTGTCAGTGAGATTTTTTCTTCCCTATATATTCTTATTTTTATTTTTGATATTTTCTTTCTATTCATAGAAGTCCCTTTAACATTTCTTATAAAGCTGGTTTAGCAATGATGAAATTCTTTAACTTTTCTTGTCTCAGAGACTATCTTTCCTTCAATACTAAATAATAACCTTGCTGGCTGGAGTAATCTTGGTTGTAGGTTTTTGCCTTTCATGACTTTGAATATTTCTTGCCAGTCCCTTCTGGCCTGCAAAGTTTCTGTAGAAAGATCTGCAGATAGTTTTATGAGAGCTTCCTTTTACATAATTAATTAACTTTTCTCTTCTACTTTTAAAATTATCTTTTTTACTTTAACTTTTAATTTTGATGTCTCTTGGTGTAGTTGTCTTTGGGTTTATCTTGTCTGGGATTGTCTGTGCTTCCTGGACTTGTATGTCTATGTCCTTTGCCAAGTTAGAGAAGTTTTCACTTATTATTTCTTCAAATAGGCAATCAATCCCTTTTTTCTCTCTTTTCCTCTAGGAATGTAATGAAAATGTTGTTATGCTTGATGCCATCCCACAATTTTAACAAATACTATTCTCATTTTTTAAATTGTTTCTTTGTGCTGTTCCATCTGGGTATTTTCCACTACTTTGTCTTCCAGACACTGATCCAATTATTTGCTGCATCTAATGTATTGTTGATTCCCTCTAATATATTTTTCATTGTATTTTTTAGTTCTGACAGGTTCTTCTTTATGTTTTATATAACTTGTTTAATGTTTTTTATCTTTTTGTTAAAGTTCTTACTGATATCTTTTATTCTATCAAGTTAATTAAGCATCCTGTGAACTCTTTATCTGGTAGATTATATGTCTTCATTTTGTTTTTAGTTCTTTTTCTGGAGTTTTGTCCTCTTCTTTGATTTCTGCAGCTTGACAAATGACTCTGAATACTGACATGACAATGCACAGGCCTAAGAACATCCAATATATTTTAAAGAATAAGATGTGAGGACTTACTCTGATAGATATTAAGATTTTTTGTAATGCATACTAATTAAGACAGTCTTAGAGCAGGGACAGGCAAATATACCTTAAGAATCAAATAAAGAGTAAGGTAGAAAGTATAATCTTTAAGAAAAATCGTTTTCTTTTATTTTTATTGTTGAGAATATTACAGATGTTCCCATCTTCCCTTCTCCTGCCTTTACATAGTAGAGTATGTAAAGTATGTTCCTATGCCCCCTTCCCTCTGGCCATCACCACAGTGTTGCCTGTGTCTATGGGTTATATATATATGTTCTTTGGCTAATCCCTTCACTTTCTTCTTCTTCTTTTTTAATAGAAGGTGCCTAATCAGTTGGATATCTACTTGGAAAAAAATGAAATGACACCACCTCACATCCTATACAAAATCAATTCCAGATAGAGTAGATATAAATGTAAAAGACAACAAATGAAAAAACTTAAAACCTCCCCAATAAAACCCCACAAACAAACTTCTACAGGATAATATAAGGCACAATAGTTAGGAGCTTTGAGTAAGGAGAGATTTCTAAAACCGGTCACCAAAAGTACTAATCATGAAGAAAAAGACTGTTAAATTTGACTATCAAAATTAAGAATTTCTGTTTATCAAAAATACCTTTAGGAGATAAAAAGGGAAGGCAGATAGTGAATAAAATCTGTAGCAGACACAATTAACCAGGAGCTCACAACTAAAACATACGGAAAACTGTTACAAGTGAGTAAAAATAAGACTAACAATACAATAGAAAAATAAGTACTTCAAAATGGCTAATAAACAAATGAAAAGATATACAACCACTTTACTAATCAAGAAAAAATGAAAACTGCAATGATTTATTACTAACCATCCATCAAAATGGTTAATGCTAAAAAGACAGATAATTCTAAGTGCTAGATACAGTTTAGGTAAGGATGTAAAACAACTAGAACTCTAATATACACTTCTGCTGGGAGTATAAATTTGTACGATCTCTTTGGAAAGTTGTTTGAAATAATCTGCTATAGCTGAGCAAACTTATACCTTATGGCCTCAGGAGAAACGTGAGTATATGTGCACAAAGAGCCATGTACACAAAGATTTACAGGGAAATTTTTTACAATAGTTCCAAGCTAGAAACAACCTGGATGTTCACATACATCATAGAATAGATAAATTGTGGCATTTCATACAATGAATACTATACAGCAATGAAAATGAACTTCAGCTATACATAACAGTATGGACTAATCTCACAGACATAATTTCGAGCAAAAGAAACTAGATACAAATGAGTACCTAACATATGGTTTCAATTATATAAAGTTAAAAAGGCTGAAAAATCTAAACAAAAGCTTATCATGATTTGTGTTTTGGGGTAAAATTATAAAGAGAAGAGAAGAAGTCAATATCAAAAGAGTCAGAAAAATAGTTCCTTTATGGGGAGTAGTAACTGTAATGATGGGGAAAGGGGGGGGTTCCTGGAGTGCTAGCAATGTTTTAATTTTTTAAATTTGATAATATGATAATCAAATCATATTGGTTGATTATTAATATGATGTGATATTGATATCATGATATGATAATTCGCTCATAACATGATAATTCATAACATGATATCACAACATGATAATTCACTGAGTTGTACATGTTTTGTTTTATATGCCTGTGTGTGCTATACTTATAATAAAAAGAATACAAAGATTGTTTTTTTCCCAACTAGTCCATACCTGGTACAGCATAAAACTCAAGGGGTCCTCTGGCCTTTCATAGACTAAGTTTTCAGTGATCTGCTGAGAGAACATAGATGTCACATTATGGTTCTGAGCTAAAGGTAATGTGGTAAGGTGATATCTGAAGCAACATTCTGTACTAACCTAACAGGTACCACACCATTTTAAATAAATCGACATATCTCTACAAAGGGACAAATTACTTCCTTACTACTGACTAAATTATGTAAATGGAGGTAATATTTGGAGGAATAAAAATGTAGTAATAAGTAGAAATGGATATTTCTCTAGTTTTCAAGATCAAAGAGGCAGTGAGAAAGTTCTAGAGAAAGTTTTTGTTTTGGATCTATGATTTTGCTAGGTTGAAAAATTAACATAATTTTTTTTTGAAGAATGGTCAGAGGAAAGAATTTGGAGTAAAATTTTAAATAGACTATATGATTTTACCTGGTGCCTTTCTTCTGAGGTATTTGGTTCTAAAAGGTAAAAATTATGTTCATTGTTTCTAATCATAAACAAGAAAGCATATGTAAAACTTCAGAGATTCACTACCATATGTTTTTGGGTGTTGAATAACCCTCCAAAAATTATAATAAATTAAATAAAACTCTCATTTGTAATAACAATGGGGCTAATTTTAGGTATAAAATATTCAAGGTTTGTTTAGTGTATCCACACCAATTATGTGTTTCATATATTTCTATGGAACACTTATTTGATAACTGATTTTTCTCGTAACAATGTTGAATGTATAAGCATTGTTTTTTTTTGACAGATGAAGAACATTATTCATAGAATGATTACTTTCTTCTCTTCTACTTTCTTCAACAGCTTTCATCCTTTGGTTTAATAATTAGTTGTTCTTTGATTAAAGTCAGAAAACCCAGCCATAAGTTCTCTCTCACACAAGGACATTTTAACAAAGAAAAGACATTGAGCAGAGTTAATAAAGTATCACTCATCCCTATTTTATATGAGGAAACTGAGATGCACAGAAGTTATGTAATTTTCCCCAAATGACAAAGGTGAAAGGTGGCCGAGTTAGGTTGGAGCCTTGGGCTAAGCTTGCAAAGTTTGTGCTCGTTCTCCTCTACCCGACTTCCTTACACTCAAGTTTAAATGCTGTCATTTGAAGTGGGCCGTTCTTATTTTACACCTTTCTAACCACAGAGTACTTCATGTACTCATGGATTATATACAAATATGTACCTTGCTGGGTAATAATATAAACATAAAAATAAACACATCAGGCAAACAAAAATGAAAATAAATATTTTATGTGATAATCTTTTATAATTCTATTTTTGCCAAAAATGTCATAGTTTAAAGAAATCTCCAGCCCCATATCCAAAATTTCAAGAATTAGAAGCAATCTTAACTACTTTTCCCTCCCAGTGGCCATATTTTGTCCTTCCTTCCTATTCTGGCTCAAACTTTAACTCTGGGCCAAGTTTTCCCTATCAATCAGTCAATCTACCTAATCCCTCTGAATGGCTTCATATCATGGTATCACTCAGTTGGTGTTTATCATTTACTATTATTGGTTATTACATCTTACTGGCTTTTCACTGAGAGTATATCCTTTTTATAGCAAAGACCCTTGCTTGTACTACACGGGAGCCAGATGAAAGTTTATCTGTTACACTATAGTTACTGAGAAATTCACAGTTAAAAACATATATAAATTTCGAGTGAGAGGTTTACCTGGAATATTTGCAGAATGTGGTGCTTTTCCATGTATTGTAGTGAAACTTGATATGGATCTTGGTACACTATAGAAGGGAACTGCTTCCTATGGGCTTTCTTGTGAGCTTGAGAACTCTTCTTGTCTTGGTGTTCTGAGACACCCTGAAATGGAAATATCCCCACCCCCCACCAAGAGTCTTTAATAAATTTTTTTTTTTAAAAAAGGAAGTTTTGTTCTTATTTTTGCTGTTATCAGTGGAATCTGGTGATGATGGGATCTGGACACCAGGAAGCAGAGGAAAGACACATTATGGTGAGAGCCCTGGCTGATCTTCCAAGGAATATAATGCACCTCGAGTCCTGGGAGTTACTTTAGGCTTCTCCAACCTACTTTAAATACTTGTTCCTTTACATGGATCTCTGGTTTACTCCAAATCCCTTTCCTTTGATAAAAGCCCAAGGTGGGGAAAATGACTTAATGTTCTAGAGTTAGCAGCCACACCAGGACTTAAAACCTAGGTCTCCTGAATGCTGGTTCATTGATGCTTCTGAAAGGCCTTAGGGTAGCAGAGAAAGCAACACCTCTCTATAAATCCCACCCTTCTCCTGTCCTCCCTGAATCCTGTAGGTCACACATAGCACAACATGTCAGTCTATTCCTCATCTTTGATCCAACCTGTGTCCACCCTCCACTCCCCATCCCACCACCACCACAGGCTCCTGGTTCGGCCTCCAGCCTCCCAGGCATCAAATGCCCTTTTCCTTTTAATCTACAGTCTCAGTTGCTATTACTTGAGGTCTTTCTTGGCTGATGACATAGTCCAATTGGGTTGAGATGGTAGGGAATCTTGGGGAATAATCTCGGCCTTTTGCTTGCAAATGATCAATGAACCTGGTTTCAAATGAGTTGAATGCTTGCAGAAAGTTTTTACTTTCGGAGTCAGTTACATCTAAAACCTTGGAATCACTGAGGTCTGTCTGGCTAGTCTTAAATCTGCAGGGCTGTACTCGGAAGAGAGCCTCTTTGTCCTTGCTGGTGAATATTTTATCATCGTACCGATGGTCACTTCCTCCATAGTCAAACTGGTTGTCTTCTATGTTATCTTTTTCATTCATTAAGTGATCAACCTCCTCAGACTTACTATAGTCATACTTATCAACTCTAGGATGATGAGTACTGCTGTCAGCTGGGTCGGCAACTCGCTGAAAGACCTGTTCAACTAGTTCAGTCACTTGGTCATGCACTTTGTGGTGAGTCTTTTCAGATGTTTTATAGCCAGTTTGTTCAGACAATCTCTGGTCAATCTGTTCATAAGGTTTTTGTTCAACCAGACCAGACAATCTGCGGTCCCTCTGTTCAGAAGTTCTTTGTTCAGCCTGGCCGGACAATCTGCGGTCCATCTGATCAGAAGTTCTCCGTTCAGCCTGGCCGGACATTCTGCGGTCCGTCTGATCAGAAGTTCTTCGTTCGGCCTGGCCGGACAATCTGCGGTCCGTCTGATCAGAAGTTCTTCGTTCGGCCTGGCCGGACAATCTGCGGTCCGTCTGATCAGAAGTTCTCCGTTCGGCCTGGCCGGACAATCTGCGGTCCATCTGATCAGAAGTTCTCCGTTCTGCCTGGCCGGACAATCTGCGGTCCGTCTGATCAGAAGTTCTCCGTTCAGCCTGGCCGGACAATCTGCGGTCCATCTGATCAGAAGTTCTCCGTTCGGCCTGGCCGGACATTCTGCGGTCCGTCTGATCAGAAGTTCTTCGTTCAGCCTGGCCGGACAATCTGCGATCGATCCGTTCAGGGGTTCTTTGTTCATATGGAACTGGTGTCTGGTTGTCAGTCTGTTCAGAGTCTACATGATCAGCTTGGTGAGATGCCTTGCTGCCCATCTGTTCAGACATTCCTTGGTCAGTCTGATTAGTTGCTCTATGATCAGCAACATTATCACGATTGGATGATCTGAGGTCAGCCTGATCAGATGTTCTGTGCCCATTGAGTTCAGATACTTTGTAGTCTGCTTGGCCAAATATGTTGGGTTCAGTCTGGCTATATACTCTTGGGTTGGCCTGGTTAGCTGTTCTGTGATAAGACTGGTTATCTGCCTCCTCTTTGCCTAGTTTCTTCCACTTGTCTTGCTGGCGATCTCTGTGGCTGTCATTTGGGAACCTTGCTGTGCTTTCAGGTTCCAAGGATTTCCCCGCAGCTTCTTTTGGAGGCTCTTCCATCTCCTGCCAGGTCTCTGGTGCCAAAGGCTGTGGGTGGGGCCAACCTGGGTTGTCTAGGCGACCTTAGGGGAATGCAGAACAACAATGCCCGCGGACTTTGTGCGGGCGTCAGCGCACTAGTTTCTCCTACTTTCCTTTCTTCCTGGAGCTTGGGCGGTTGTCTGGAGGTGACATGGACTCCCGCCCAGCGGCAGTTGGGGGAAGCACCGCCTCTGGCTCTGGGCACAGTCAGGAGCGGGCTTCCGCTGATATGCAAAGTGGACGCCCCTCACTGGAGAAAAGGTGACCACATGCTGGTGTCGCCACTGCTCAGCAGTTAGACAGACCTCAGGGCTCTGTGGATGGGTGTCTTACAGCGGTACCCTCCTCATTGTCCTGCGGAAGTTTACAGCCGCGCTGGTCAAACTGGATTGTTAGGTACCAGTCTTCTGATCCACAGCACGTCAGGCGATGAACCTCTGCGCAACCACAGGAGGGCAGCATACCTGAGCAGAGGTGGTGGTTGCCGAAAATAAAATCCGTTTTTCCTTCACCAGTGAATTGTCTAATCACGGTTGTCTGTCACAGTTGCAAGGCATTGTGCTAGTAAATACTCCTGATACTGTGGCGATGCAGCCAAATTATGTTTTCAGTTTTAATTTTCTGTAATCCTCATCAGAGGATATGTTTTTTGAATTTAGAGGGAAAGACAGACTGACAGACATTAGTGTAAAAGAAACATTGATGAGTAGCCTCCCACATGCAACCCACCTGGAGATCAAACCTGCAATCTGTTGGTGTACAGGACAGCATTCCAACCCAGCCAAAGCTTCAGTTTTAATTTTTTAAAACCATTTTTAATCCTGCCTTTACGAACACTTCTGGTGCTGTTTTCATCGGTACTAGTGTTACGGGAAAAAGGCCCTGGCCCTGAGTGGGTCTGCCTAGGGCCAGCTGTAGTGCTGGGGTTTCTCACTTTGTGTAGGAAAGCTTTCACGACATGAGTCCAGGTGATTATGAGGCCACATTTATTAAAGTTGGGGACAGTGAAACAAGGAAGGGCTTAGCCTGGAAGAAGCAATAAGAGAACCTAGACTGGACTGCCTTAGCTCACTGGGGAGTCAGAGAAAAAGGGGGCCTTGGAGACAGGTTCAAGGAGTTAGTGTGGCACAAGCTACCAGCTGCTCATTGCCTTAGAATTTAAGAGACATGTGCCTGTGAAGAGAGAAAGAGGGTGGATAGAAGGAAGGAAAGGAAAGAGCTTGGTCCCCAGAGGGACAGGGCACACCCTGGGTTCTTCGTCTTGAGGCTTTTATCTCTTTCTTGCAGGGGGGGGGGTCTTAGGTGATGTCTTGGGGACATTGTCAGCAGAATATTCATCAGTTCTCCAGGTGTGTCCTTTCAGGGTCATGGTCTCCACTGATTGGTCAGTGACAGGGCAGGGAATCTTTAGTCATTGCAGCTGGTCCTGGTGTCACCCAGCTGGTCCTGGTTTTGTGGCTTTTCTGGGCCCATAGCTGAAGTACAACTGAGGCCCAGAGGTGATCTCTAGGGATGTGGCCGTAAATTGGTCATCCATTGTGTTCAGCTGTGTGTCTCAGTTTTGCTGTTCCATTTGCCAAGGAATTTTCCCAGCTTTTTACTACCCTGTCTCATGGGGAAGAGTTCTATCTCCCAAACACTAATGTTACTAAAGTCATAGAATTCTTTCTATAACCAAACACAGGTCCAGCTGCCCGCTGCTTCAAAAGCCAACACTCCAGGCAGGTGATGATGAAAAGGATAGCGGTTTTATTCAGGTTGCCAGCATCACCGAAGATGGGGGACTCGCCTCAAAGCCCATCTCCGCATCCCAGGCATTCAGGCTAATTTATAGAGGGGAACCGTGGAAGAGGAGAATGAAGGAATTTCTGGCGATGTGCGTTTTCTCAGCTCTCTTCTTGGGTGGTTTCAACGTTATCTCTTGTGTGTGTCATCATGCAGATTCATAGCTCGATCCATAGTTTCACTGCCGATATCTGGAAACAGGACGTGTAGGCGGAGTTTCTGCTGCTTCTGATATGAGTCCCTGATGATCGTCCAGTTTCTCGTGGTCAGCGTCACTCCTGGGTTAGTTAAGCAGGAGCTGCAACTGCTGATGTTTATAAAATACTTTATAAAAGGTAACTTTTAATACCTGAATCTTCTATGAGTTTGTTAGTATAGCCTATTCTATAATTACCACCTGATTAGTATACTGTGCTTATTTCAATCACTGTTACATTTCCTCACAATGAAGAGTGTAGAGAGGAGAGTTCTTCTCCCTCCACCCCCAACCCCTTGGCAATTCATTGCTGCAGGATCATCTTTTTTTCTGTATCAAGGGACAGCAGAGCAGCTGTTTCCTATCCCCTCTAGGAAGAGGTGTCCTGGTTGTGTAACAGAGTGCAGCCAAGAGGGGGCCCCCCAAAAGGGATTTGAATGGGGTCCAGAACTCAAGGTGTCTAGGAAATATTAGAAAGACATATAAGTATGTGCTCACTCCTCGCTCCCCAACCACAGATATGAGTTGGGGGAAGGGACAAATGGAGCAGGGCCATGGAGAGCTGTTTTGTACAGCAAAGGCTTTGCAGCTAACCTCTGGCATGGTCATTTAACATATCTATAACCTTTAACTGGTTGCAGCTATATGTTAAATAGCTGTGGCCATGCTCTGAGCCACGGGAATGGAAAGGGACTACCCCCCAAGTTGTAACGGGGGGCAGGTCTCCCAGGCAACAGAGCCTGCGTGAGAGTTTGGATAAGATTAGCTCCACACCATGGGGCTACACCTATCCAGACTCACAATGGCAGCCCAGTAACCTTGGAATAATTCGGGAGTGCTGGCAAGTGTAGCTGATTGTGGGAGGAGTCAGAAATGGGGCTGCAGAGGAGGACTAACATGGGGATTTAAACCCGGGCGCAGCAGCGATTGAAAGAGAGCCACACACAGCTTGGGTGAAGAGAATCACCAAACAGCTTTAGCAGAAAACCAACACTCGACTTTGATAGAGTGGCGAATGCCCAACTTCCTACAGCTTTGCTGAGAAGAACCATGTGGTTTTGGCCAGAGAGGGGACCCCTGCAGCTTTGGTAGAAGAGGACCATGTGGCTTTGGGGTGCTCCCTTTGGCCGTGTGGCCTGGGAAGCAGGAGAGACTTTGTTTGGAAGAAGAGTGAAAGAATTCTTGCCAGTAGGCCATGAGAAGGTGCCACGTGGCTTTGGATTAATTAGAGATCCTGCCTGGGTGGTGACACAGCTGATGGTGCCAGAGGCCTGAAATACAGACATGTGCTTTTTTCTGGAGTTAGAAACCCCGAATTAGGGCAGGGGGAGAAGGAAGCACTGTGGGCGTTTGTGGGTATCCAAAAGGACTTTGATATTTTAATGAAGACATTAGGTCACTACTTGAAGTCTGTATAGCATTAAATAAACATTTCCTTTCCTTTTCACAAACTTCTGGCATTGAGAGATGTCTTTCTTATCTGGCAGCGAACATGACGAACCCGGTAGGGGTCCTTTCGGTAATAGTATATTGTGACTCCCCTCGGTCCTGTGCGTGTGTATCTGTAACAGTTGTGGAAAACCTAGCCCCACGGGGTTTGGCTGATTTATACGTACATATATGGCTGGCGGGCTAGAGGTAGGAGAGGAGATCCAGTCAAAATGGGTTCTAAAATCACACTATCTAATAATTTTATAGCAGAAGTTGGGGTTAAGGTTAGGAATTAGAGCTCCAGAAAGAAAAGGAGTAGGAAAGACAGGAGAAGGAGCATTTAACAAGCAGGGAAATTTGCACTTGATAGTGGTGGCTAGTGTGGCTCAGGTTTTGAGATCTGGCCCTTCCTGTCTGAAATAAACCTACAGAATCCACTTCAGACCAGCAGCCCTCTACTTTCAGGAGTTGGGCAGTGCAGTGGTGGTGATTTACCAGAGATTCGATTGACTCTCCTAAGCCTTAAAATCACTGAGGCATACCAAGGGTTCGTAGTACATTGCCAGCTATTCCTTTAATATGGACTTAATTGCATTTAACTAATCAGAGATAAGACTTAGCATCCAAATGCAAATAGTTATGATTAAGATGTGAGAGAAAGAGTGAGTATCCTTAACGCTACACTTAGGAGCAGAAAGAAGAATGTAGGTACACGAAGTAAAATAACTTACGTAACAATACCCAGAACATAGTAGGTGCTCAAGATGTGTTTGTTGACCATAAATATACAAATGATCTGCCTTATTTATTTAAAAATATGTGAAGCAGCTCTGGATGGTGTAGCTCAATGGGTTGAGTGTGGGCCTGTGAACCAAAGGATTGAGGTTCGATTCCCAGTCAGGGCACATGTTTGGGTTGCAGGCCAGTTCCCAGCAGGGAACATATGAGAGGCAACCATACACTGATATTTCTCTCCCTCTCTCCTTCCCTTCCCCTCTAAAGATAAATAAATAAAATCTTTTGAAAAAAATAAAAATAAAAATATGTGGAGCAAATGAAAGTTGTGTTGCAACTTCAATGGGGTATTGGAATTATAGATTTTTTTTCCATTTATAAGTTAAATGTAACCATTGTAGAAAAGTAAGGAAAACAAGCACAAAGAAAAAAACTCACCTGGGTTACACCTGAGTTATAACCTTTATCAGCATTTTGATTTATATCCTTGTAGAATGTGCCTCAGGCAAATCTATGTCTGATACTTATAGGTATATGTGTATTTTACAAAACAATCAAATTGTACAACTGTTCTCTAAGTTGCATTTTCTTCCCTTAAATTTTTTTTTACTTTATATTTCAGTTACAGTCGACATACAATATTGTGTTATTTTCAGGTGTACGAAACCATGATTGAGCATTTATATACCTTATGAAGTGATCGCCCGGGTAAGTCTAGTACACATCTGGAACCACACATAGTTATTACAGTATTACTGACTCCATTCCCTATGCTGTACTCTACACCCCATGGCTGATTTTATAATTTGTACTTTTTAATCCTTCTCATCTT